GAAGACAAGCGACGAGAGGCTGCGAGATCAAGCGCGAATTCAACAGTTTGCTTCGATAAAAAAGTTGACGAAGGCTTTTGAGAGAATAGCTCTAAAGAATAAAGATCCAGTAGGTGTCAGTAATTCTTCGAAAGTGGAAGGGGCTGTTGGAACAAATAAAAAGGTGGATCAACCGGATAAATCTACGGAGAGGGACAAAAGAACTTTTGGATCGTCAAAGCGGTGTTATAATTGAATGTCAGGAGTAGGGCCACATTGCTGTGAGTTGCCCGAAAAAATCTATCACTTTGAAAAAGAGTTGTGCGGTTGTGTCTTCAACGCGGCGGAAACACCCGAAGAAGGTTGTCATTGAGGGATTTGCGGTTGAGGCGCTGATCGATACGGGGAGTGATAAATCTATAATGAGAGCTGACGAGTATGTTCGTATTGGTGCTCCGCGACTAAAAACAGGAAAAATTCGATTTGAAGGTGTTGAATCTTGTACCAATGAGACAATAGGAGAATTTCGAATGCAGATGGATGTGGATTGCAATGCTTACCCTATTTTGATACGTGTTCTTTGTGATACAGTCACTAGACATAAACTATTAATAGGTGTTGACTTTTGAGATACGAGTGACTTGAATGTCAGAGCGGGCAAAATTACAATTAGTCCTTTGGAGCCTTCAATTGTGGACAAGTCAGACGAGTTTCAAATATCCAATATTGACGTGTCGTGTTGTGTTGAAGTGAATCAAACGGAAGTCTGTCATATTGCAGACTACAAAGTGAGAGAGGAAATTATGAAGCTGGTTGAAAATTATAAACCGGATAAGAAAATAGATGTTCCAGTGGAGATGAACATTGTTCTCAAGGACGATGAACCTGTGTATGGTTGAAAAACGATATCATCCAGCCTTCAGTGTCGAATTATGGGAGTGCAGTTTTCTTGGTGCCTAAAAAAGATGAAACTTATCGTGTGTGTCCAGATGTGTTCTGTTTTGAGAGAAAAAGTTGAGTTTTTGGGACACGTGATCGAGAATGGATTTATAAAGCCATCGGAGAGGAAAACGGAGGCAGTGTGTCAATTTTCGGAGCCAGAAAATGTTAAGCAGGTACAAAGTTTTCTCGGTTTTACGGGATATTTTCGAAAATTTGTTGCCGGATATGCTGAAGTGGCTAGGCCTTTGAGTAATTTGTTGAGAGCAGGAGTTAAGTTTTGTTTTGGACCAGAGCAAAAGAGAGCTTTCGATCAGTTAAAGTGCATTCTTGCAGGGGAGCCAATGCTTAAAATTTATCGAGTGGGAGCAAGAACTGAATTGCACACTGATGCATCGAAGTGGGGTTTTGGTGCAGTGCTATTGCAAGAAGATAGTGAGGATCAACGACTCCATCCAATTTATTTCGCGAGTGGTAAAACCACGCCAGCAGAAGAGAAATATTCGATTTATCATCTGGAAGTGTTAGCCATAATTAGATCTCTAAAAAAATTCAGACAATACCTGCTGGGAATAGTATGCTGAGTGATAGTGTAGTGATCATGGCAAAGAAAGTTGAATAATGTAAAGTGTGAAATTTTGTAAAATTGATGTGAAAGATAAACAATGACATGTGATTAAATTGACTGTAAAAATAAATTGTGATATTTTATGTACATATTTTATTTTGAAGTTAGATATTATTCATTTTATGGATTGTATTAGAATGATGATAATAAGAAAAAAAGAAATATATATATATATATATATATATGTTGGTTGAAGTTAATCAGATGTAAATTTAAATGAATATATGATGACGAGAGATGTAAGTTTTGGAGATTCGAAACGTATCTCATTTTAGGGGGGTTGAATGTAGGATTTGATATTCTTTGAATTTAAATGGAAACATAGATGTCAATAAGATAGATTTTGGGATAGAAAATGTAAAGTAGTAGGGGGAGTTCAGTCTGATTAGAGTTGTCAAGGTGATAAGCTGTGTGCTGGGCTGAGTGCGAAACGACGACTATTTTCTATAATAGTGAAAAGATAGAAAAAACGATTGTCCTGTAGCAAAACTGATAAATAAACTAATTTACATCATTATCCATCAACATTTTTATTCTACATTAATTAAAATATAAATTACACTGCCCTGCAAATTTTAAATTTTTTTCTGCGAATAACATGGGACATAGTGTTTCCGGAACGGGTTTTTTGTGCTGAACACGAATCCGGGGTCGAAAACTTCCCATCACGTCACGTTTTCAAGAAAATCGGGGTTGAAACCCCTAAAAATAGGGTTTTTGGCCATTTTTGAAAAATTATACAGCGAAAACCTGACGTGGTACAAACTTTGCTGATATCAGAAATTAAAGGTTGGTTCATGCCCTTTCAAACGAGCCCTATTCGAAATTGATCGCACTCACCCTTAGAGCAGGGGGTGTGTTTTTGTCTAGGAATGCACGAAAAAAATGTAAACATAACATAAAAATTCAAAATGGATAACAATTCAATAAATCATGATAGTTAAGGGGTTTTCGGGGTCGCTGATTACGAATCTGAAGTCAGATTTCAAAAATTCAAAATGGCGGATCCAATATGGAGGAAGTCAAAATAAAAATTTAATCCAATTCACTTGAAAATGGTCACTCGGGGGTTTTTGGGGTCGCTGATAACGAATCTGAAGTCAGATTTCAAAAAATCAAAATGATTTATTGTATTGTTATTCATTTTGAATTTTTGTCTTATGTTTACATTTTTTTCGTGCACCCCTAGACAAAAACACACCCCCTGCTCTAAGGGTGAGTGCGATCAATTTCGAATAGGGCTCGTTTGAAAGGGCATGAACCAACCTTTAATTTCTGATATCAGCAAAGTTTGTACCACGTCAGGTTTTCGCTGTATAATTTTTCAAAAATGGCCAAAAACCCTATTTTTAGGGGTTTCAACCCCTATTTTCTCGAAAACGTGACGTGATGGGACGTTTTCGACCCCGGATTCGTGTTCAGCACAAAAAATCCGTTCGGAAACACTATGTTCCATGTTATTCGCAAAATCGATGCAGGGCAGTGTTATTAATATAAATAAAGTAAAATTTAAATAAAATTCTCTAAATTAAATATTATTCAGTAAATTTCATTTTGTGTTTCCTTCACTGTTTAACTTTTTGAATAATTTTAATTAAAAATTTGGAAAATTTCTTCAAAATTATAACAATAATTCAAAAAATTGAGATTTTTTAAAAAGTTATTATTTTAAATAATTATGATAAAAAAATTCTAAGAATTACTTTCTTACAATGATTACTTTTTTTGAAACTATTTTTTGTTTTGATTTTTTATTAAAATTTTTCAATATTTTATTTTCAGAAATTTTTATGAAACACTTAAAATAAATAAATTATTTTCAATAAAACACAAAATAATAATAAGCACATATTTAAAAATAATTTTTTTACATGAAATTATACATTTGATTTAATTATTATTTAAATTAATCTAATTTGTTAAATCTAAATATTGAATAAAATATTCAAAATAGTCATTTCTCATATTTGCAAACCATATATGTACTTAATACATACATATTGATAATATTACTATTACGTGATGAAACCCAATCGGTTATACTCGGCAATAACCGGATATTTTTCGTACATCATCGGTAAAGTTCGACCAATCGAATGCTACTAAGAAATAAGAGTCCTATTTTCAATGGGAATGTCTTCAAAAAACAATTTTAGATGTTACAATAACCAATTTTAAGATAAGCAATATTTTTAGCACCTCTGCTTCTTTCCAATAAAAATAGTAATATTTTTAAAACAGAGTGTAATATGTGAAATTTCAATTTTTACTTTTCATAATTATTCTAGTCAAAATTCTTTTTGTGAATATCTCTTTTTCCTAATTTACAATTCATATAGCTTTTATTAATCATTCCAACTCCTTATTGTAATTATTAATAATTTACTATACTTTCAAATGATACCGATAAATTTATTTTGTATTACAGTAGTAGAAAAAATTGTCATTTTTATCACTTCATCCTCTCTTACTATTGGTTTTTTGTAAAAATAATTATTATGTCAAATTTTACAAACTAAAGTTTCTCCGTGCATGTTAATTTTTTTGTTATTACTTTATTAACTTTTTAAGTTGCACCCGTCATCTTTGCAAGCATTTTTCGTGTTTTTACAGATAGTGAGTTAAAATTTGTTTGTAAAAGTTTTTTTTGACTCTTTATGTATATAGATCTAGTATTTATCTAGTTTAAGAAAATTTTTAGTTTTTTCATTTTAGGTCACTTGGAATGGCTGTAAAGTGCCCGGCGCACTTGAATTCCCGCCACGCGGGGTTTTTGCAGGGTGTGCTGGAGCCTCCATTTTTAATTATTTTTACTCAAAAAATTTTTGTAAAATTTTAAAAATATATTCTTATAAATACAATAATTCGTTTTTTCAAAAAATAATTGCGTTCGCTTAAAAAAAAATTAAAATTAAATTCGATTGTAACATGTATTCATCTCACGGAGTCTATTTTGATTTATGAACGGGTCCAACACATGGTAAAGCCAGTCTCTTTGATTCAATTTCGAATTTCTCATCATCTGGATTTACCTTTTTACTATCTGACCTGTGTTACCAACATACATTTCATTCAGTTTATTCTAGAAACTTTTTCCTCTTCCAGTTTGTTTGTTCTGACACTCGACTTGGCTTAAAGTCAAATAAGAAGAAGAAGAAGAAGTACTGTAGTTGTCCCAGTAGCCGTCCATTTTTACAAACTCATATAATAATTTAAATTATTTTTCAACAATATTTTATTCTTTTTGGCATGCAATGGACTTATTAGTTGAAGTAAACAAATAAAAGAAAATATTTTTTTATAAATGTTATCTTTAAAATTAAAGTGGACGGAAACTGGGAGAACCACAGTATAGCGTCTCACTTTATGTTTATATAGATGTTGATTTATATCTTGGTTATACATTATCTAGCTAATAAATATTTAATGGAATTCTGTTTCGTACTATTTTCAGGTACGAGAGAGGTTACGTGTTTCACTTGAAAAAAACGCTAGTTTGGAGGAAGAATTAGCACATACCAAAGAAGAGGTAAATAATTTTAATTTTTTGATATTATTAATATGAAAATGGGTCAGACCAAAGTCAATGAAGTCTAATTTTAAAAAATTTGTACTTTTGGAAATAATTTTTTATAATACCTACGAAACGAAATAAAAAAAATTATGATAAAATATTTATTATTTCTTGTCAAATATGAGTTTGAATGGCTCAATTTCTATGAATTAAGAAGAATTTTATTGTTTATCAAATACAAAAAAAACCACGAATTTCTAGAAAACAGGGACAGATATGATTTCGTTTAAAACGGATTTTAAATCTATAAAAGTATACAAAACTTGCTGTACAAACCGTTTTTGTTCGCATTTTTGTTTGTTTGTTAAAATCTAGTTTCCGCATTTGTAAAAACTAGCAAATGAGAATGAAAAATACATCGCGCTCGTAAATATACTATATAAAGCTCGAATTTTATTATTATTTTATTATTTATTTTTATTTACGCTTGTCTGGTGAACATTACGTTCATACAAGAGGAGTTACAAACTTGAGTGAGATACATAATTGTCGCTTTATACAAAATAAATTACAAAAGACAAAAAAAAAAAAAAAAAAAAGAGTATATAAAAATATCTATACGATGGTTCAGCAAATCCTAAAATCTCTCGCATTCAAAATAGTGATAAACATATTAATAAATTTTTTAATTTCTACTATATTATTTGAGGATATGATGTTTAGCCAATGGTCCGTTGCATCACAGTTAGGGTTTCTGAGGAACAATCTTTCATGAACATGTTTCCACGCCGGGCATTCCACCATAATATGATGGAAGTCATCAATTTCCTCATTACAAAAAACACAATTATTTTCCATATCAAAATTATATTTAGAACGATAAACTACAATTCTTGTAACATATTTATTAGAAAGACGAAGTTGTGCTAAAATTCTTTTGTAGAATAGTTTCAGACTTAGAAAAAGATACGGCTGTGTTCCAGTTTGTAAGAAAAGATGAGGAAAAATTAAAAGGCTGTTGGAGGAGAGTCGTTGGTCATTATCCGACTTCCTCAAGTAAGCTTCGTAATTTCTGAGAATGATCCCACTGTCCATAGCCACTGAAGATAGAGAAAAATTATCCCATTTGTCAGTTAAATCAGACAGTATAAAAAATATTCGAATTTGATTAAATCAATTCAGTTTTGCATTTTGGTCTTTTCGTGCTAATGATATTAATCTTTCTAGGCAAAGTCTAGGAAAACGCGACATATCCATCCGCGATATTCTAGTCAACCATGATAAAACATTCTTTAAAACTGCAAAAGAGAGGTGTAAAGAGCCAGTCTCAACTCTCAGTGCATAACTCGGGGTATTTTTAGGAAGAAATAGTAATTGCTTCAGAAAAGAAAGTTGTGTTTTCTCAAGAAGGTCCAGAAAATCCAGCGCCCATACTTGAATAGCATACATTAATATACTCAGTACAAGGCTATCAAATAATTTTTTGTACGCATTCCACGAGTTAGCCCCAGACAGGTGAATCACTCTCACAACGCTCCCAATCGCTAAATTTGCTGAACCTGTGAATTTCTTTGCAGCCGGTGCAAATGAACAAGACCCAGAGAATGGCACGCCTAAATAAACATAACTGTCTACCACTTCAATTCGTTCTTCACCATATTTAAAAAAAGAAAAATTTTTTGCTGTTCGCGTCTTAGAAAAAATAACAATCTTTGTTTTATTAATATTAACAGTTAATTTGTTTAAGTCACAATATGACCGAAGTGCTTTTAATTTATTACTAACTTCAAGTGGCGAGTCAGATAAAAGAACATAATCGTCCGCATATCCTTGGGTCATAATTTCTATTTTGCTATCAATGGCAATGCCCCTGCATCCCTGTTTATAAAAATGGTCTTCAAAATCGTTTATGAATAACAAGAACTCAAGGGGGCTAAGAACTTCACCCTGGAGTACCCCCTGAGTGACCCTCACAGATTCTGTAATACCCTTGTTACATTTAATATTTGTTGTTGCCACTGAATAAAACGAGATCAAAATATTAATAATTTTAGAACTGAGCCCCAGTTTGTGAAGTTTGTGCCACAAAATTGCATGAGAAAGGGAAGGAAATGCGCTTTTAAAATCTATGAAAATTGCATAAACTATTGACGACGGATTTCTTAAATGAATTTGGATAATTGAATTAAGGGTAAAAATATTATCAAGGCAACTCCTTCCCCTTCTAAATCCAGACTGAGACTCAGGAAACAAGCCTAATTCCTCCGCCCAAAATTCAAGTCTGCCGCAAATCACATGTGTGAAAATTTTAGCGATACTTTTAATCAATGAAATTTGTCTAAAATTTTCAGGGTCACTAGGGTCTCCCTTTTTAAATATCATGGTTGTAGTAAGATTGCCCCAAGACTTTGGAACCGATTCATTTGTCATTACTTTGTTAAATAAAGTCTCCATATAAAAAATCCAATTCTGTGGCAGACACTTATAGAACTCATAAGAAACGCCGTCGGACCCAGGGGATTTGCCATTTTTCGAACTCATAATACTTTTAACAATTTCATCGGTAGTAATCGCAGCATCAAGAATCGGATGGGAACAATTTGCAAATGAAAAATTTGTAGAAGGATCGTTGACACACTTCGGATAACATTTCTCGAGATATCTCTGCCATGACGCAAGGTCTATATTTGAATGTTGCATCGATTTAAATCTGTAAGAATTTATCACCCTCCAGAACTGGGTAGAGCTACTGCAGTTTGCCAGGGAGTCAGCCTGTTTGGAAAAAAATTCTTTCTTTTTTTTATCTTGAATTTGTTTAAAGTTATTTTTCGTTTTAAGGTATACAATTTTTGACTCCCTAGAAAAGTCAGCCGCCCTGTACTCCCTCAGAGCATCACGAAGACAATTTTTTGCTTCCCTACATTCGCTATCAAACCAGGGTTTATTTATATTAAATTTTTTGGAAAAGTTATTACATTTTAACATACCCAAGTCCGATGCAACAGTTTTTATTGTAGTAGTAAGCACACTATTCATATCATTCACTGGTATGTCGATAAAACTCACTTCATTTCTTGAGGCCATTAGAGACGAAAAAGTTTCCGCCTTCTCGCTGTCGAAAATTAATCTTTCAGAAGTGGTGATATCAGGTGAATTTCGAAGTTGAAGAGGGGGCAAAGATAAAGCCAACCGAACAGGGAGGTGGTCCGAGAGAGTGGGCAGCTCCAAAACTTCCAAGTCCTTAAAGAGAGGGGCACCGACTATATTACACCACACATGGTCGATGACACTCACACCCTGCGAGCCCACAAAGGTGAAACCAGCCGGAGAATCGAGAGGGGAGCGACCATTCAAAATCACGAGCCCACTGGTCTCCATGAACTCGACAAGACACCTTCCAGCAGTATTGACACAAGTATCCAAAGACTTTCTCTCACAGGAGAATGGGAAGAGTAACTGGCTCAACTCATGATCAACCTGATTAAGATTGGCCACCCTGGAATTGAAATCTCCACCCACTAGAATAGGTAAATCAGGGAAGGAATTTGTTATCGAGATGATAGCTGAATTCAGGTTCTCCTGCAGTTCCTTCGGGTCAATTGTAGGGGAGAGATATACGGCGCCCAAGATAAAGTTAATAGAATGAGTCTTGACGCTTACAAACATGAAGTTAGTTGTAATTGTGATGACCTTCACCCTGTAAAATTCCGGATTAAATAACAGAAGGAGACCGCCTATGGCTCTGCCATGTTTGCTCTTTCTAATTGCAGGTGATATAATGGCTTGAAAACCCCAGCTTTTCAACGGATTTAACAGGCTTGATTCAGACCACGACTCACAGACGCACAGAATGTCGTTATCATTTAAAATATTGTAAATATCATTAAAATTGGAAATTCCCTTTACATTCCAGAATATTATACTTGGGACCGAATCGTTTTTGGTCCTGCGTCTCCCAGACACGGGTTGCTAATCCTTGGAGGGTCCCGATTTTTCAGGATGGTAATCGGAGCGAGGTTGATTTTCCACAGCAGAGGGTGGCGAAATAGACTTGATAAAGTTGTCCAATGTTGACGATTGATTCAGATTCTCCGCAGTTTTCGACGGTTTGCCTTTTTTATTGGTTTTAACTTGGAGCTGATCTTGTAATTTCCTCTTGCGCAGATCAGGGGTTCCCAACTTTCTTGGCTCCTTATTTTTTGGCGTGTTTTCAGCATGGTTAAGATTATCGGTTATCATGTCGTCTTCCTTTAGTTGGTATTCTGATAGCAATTGGTCTGCGCAAATCAAATCAATCAGTTTTTCATTTATAATTAAGGTTTTATTTCTTATTTTCGCGTTCATACCCAGATTTCGCAACCTGACAACTCTGTCTCGCAATTCACGATGTTTTTCTCTCTCTTCCTTTGTCCTGTCGTTGGCAATAGCGAGGTTGAAATTTTTAAACTCCTTGACCCTATCGAAGGCAACTCTCACCCATCTTGAAGAAATAAATTTAATCTTGATTGGTCGACTTCCCATGACTTTGCCGAGACGGAAAGAGTCCTCAACTGCAACGTCCGGAATCCGCAATCCCATATCAGAGAAGATCTCAAGAACAGAGTGTATCAAATCACGGTTAACACTTTCCGAGTCTTCTAGTCCGAAAAGAATCAGATTTTTGGAGCGAGATTGGTCACTGAGAGATGAGAATCTTTTCTCTAATTCAAGCATTCTTTCATCGGAATTAGATTGTTTGGTTTTCATGGATTCAAATGCTTTCATAGCAGACTGTACTTCATTTCGGAGAGTATTGTGTGAAACAGTGAGTGAGTCAACAGCAGTTAGCAGTCGATTCAGTTTGTCTTCTTCGCTTGATAGAGGCATCCTTGTTGACACTACGGGATTTATTATAATCGAAACAAAGAGCAGTACACAAACACCTTTCACACACTTAGAAAAGACTTCACGTCAAGAGAAATTCCACTGATTCAAAAGCGAAGAACAAAAGAAAATTCGGTAAAAACTCAGGCGCA